TAAAATTTTCATCCAACATATGGCACTAATGAAGCACTGCGGGCCAATGAGATGGCTCTGCGGGTAAAGGCACTTGCCATCTAGTCTGACAACCTGAGTTCAATCCTCTCATGGTCAAAGACAGGAGCAGACTCCTGCAGGCCCTTTGACTTCTGTACATGCACACCCATGTACATACACACCCAAATAAAACACACGGAATAAATATTTTCTAAACAGAAACATCATCTGAACAAGTCTCCCACACCAAAAACATACTTAGGTTTCTACTCCCCCCCCCCACAATTTCTGATGCGCTGACATCACGCTTCACTCAGCCGTCTTTATAGGTGGCCCATGGTGCAGCATCATATTGAGAATATAGGCACAAAGCAACCACATCAGGTTGTAGAGTTAACAGAGTTGACTTAGCTTCAGTTTCTTCAACTTTTCTCTCATGCTAGCTCTCTCTTTTCACGGAAGCCCCTGGGTGGAGCGGATATCAACCTACACGTTCCTGCCACCACTGTTTCATATAACATTTCTAATACAGCTGAGCTTCTAAAGCTCTGATTTCACTACAGCTTTGAGGAAGAAATGGAATACTTTGTGGAGGGATTATTTTTCTGCTTTACAAACTGTCATGATTCCTTTTATGTATTTTCCACTGATGAATAAAATGCTAAAAAAAAAAAATGCTATTGAGTCTTTGCCTCAATAAAATCAGGAGTTCTGATTACACTTCCAGCATAGTTAGATTGCACAATGGAATCCTTTTCCAGGGACCCCCACAGCAAGAATTCGCAAGTGAGCAATCCCACAGGTATTCTATGAAAACCCAAGAAACAAAATCTCACAAAAGGCAGTGTAGTGAGGTGAAACTATAAAACAGCTTACCATTTCTCCTCTGCTGCCAAGGGCAAGCTCCATGCCTCCAGTTATTCTGGCAGACCAATAAGATAGACACCTCCGAGGGCTTTCTAGAATTTGCAAGGCATTTTTACTACTTCAAGTATGAATTGCTTGGTACAGGCATGTCCTTATTCATATCAGTTTGGCTCTCAGGCTGGGGCATCAGAATCACTGAGGTTTTTCATTTTTGTTTTTGGCAATCCTATCTCCTATGCTACAGCCCATTAGCTTCCTGACCTCTGTCATTCAATACCCTCGGCTACAATGACAGGTAAAAATACCCTCCCACCTATATTTCACAAAGCCAAAGCCCACTTGGAGAGCAGAGAATGTACTAGTCTTGGCTCCAAATCACTAATGACCTCTTTAAACACTCTAACCAGCAAGCACAGATTCACTCTTTATCTGTGTTTGGGAAAGACATACCAAGATAAGATGCAACTCCTGACCTTGTATTTAGGGAAGCTCTCTCACCCTCTTCTATCATTGACACTCTAACAGTTCATGGAGAGTCAAAGTCACAGGGCCCACTCTGAAACAAAGGGCTTTATTCAAATGTGAGTTTTGTTTGTTTTTTTGCCACAGGGTCTAAGACACTGTAGTCCAGAAGCATCTATGTAACTCAGGCTTGACTTGAGGGCCTCCTCCTGCCTCTGGAATAACAGGACAACAGGAACAATCCAACATGCTCAGCTTTTAACATGTTTAAAAAGTAAGATTTTGAAAGGTAGAGGAGAAAACGGTGTTTAATAAACCAGAGCAATGGAGTCAGAGACCTACATTCAATCCTTATCCTGGAGTCTTGCTCCTTGTGATCACAGGAAAATCATTCTCCACTGGCAGTGCTACCCCTCTTCTTCCCACCCACCTGCCTGAGGGTATTCTGAGTTATTCAAATGACCAGAGATGCTGCTGGCAATTAGTAGGTGGAATCTTGGGCATCAACTCTCCTTCAAAGGACCAGAGAGTCCAGTTTAAGGAACTGTTACACTCAAAACAAATTGAATCTGCTGTGAAGCACTGTCCCATCCTCAGTGCCTTCAAAACTGTAGGAGGCTCCTAAGTATAGCACCCCTTTAGCCTGTGGGTATGATGTGAATCACACTCAAGCAAAAGCTCTCTGCCCAGGGTAGGTGCACAGTGGGTCCTTGGGAAATGTTCTCCTCACCATATTAGCTCCCTTCTGGCTTCCAGGTACTGCATGGAGCCCATAAACAGGTTCATCATGCCTGATACAGCTAGGGTGCAAGCTTGTGCAATCATTTTCACAAAGCAGATAAAAATAAGAAAGCAAGTGTTCACATAAAAAGTTCCCCATTCCAACAAGATTCACTTAACAGAGCCACTTTTAAATACATTCCAACACTCCCAGTGAGGAGCCATTCTCTCCAGAGACCCAATGACATTCTAATTTTCTGGATGCCTCTCTCTCTGGGTCCTGCCAGCATACATCTCCTGACAGACCTTAAATTCCTGAAGGCCCTTTTTCTGCCTGCCACATCTGTTCCTATTTCTCCAGTTTCCTATTTCTACAGAAACACCCACATAGATGGTCACTTAAAGTCACCTATGCCATAAGGCCCTCCCTGGACTCCTATCTCTTCTAAGACCTACAGTCTTATGCCAATCCACTGGGCTGAACACTATAATGACGACTATCTAAATGAGATGCATTGGAATCTAGGAGTTCTTTACAGTATCCTGTGAAAACTTTCAATTGCAGTTTTCATTTTTACATAACCGATGCTGTTAGTTATCTGGTCGACCAACACATTAAACACTCAAAAAGGTAGGTAACCTTACCCTTCTTTGAGTGCTAAGGGTTTTGTGCCAACAGAGTAGCAGCAAACTCAATAAATAATGCATTCGCACCAAGTAAAAGCTGAACAGCACACAGTAAAAACAAAGGGTGTCTCTCAATGTGTGGAACATTATGGTGGAGACTGGGCAACCCCTAAAGGCCTTGTGTCTATCCTCACACATCCCATCAGTCTTTGTTTCCACTGGTAGCAAACAAACATTTGGAAGGACGGAGGGAGGCAGTGTCATAAATTTGACTTTCATTAGTCTCATTAATACTCACAGTTCATTTTCCTTCTGAAGAGGTTGCTAAGGAGCTCTGCTCTCACGGAGTGTGTATCCTGTTTTGTCTGAGCCAACACAATGTGTGCAGGCAGGAAAGGAGCCTGAGAAAAGCCGTTTCACCCCAAGACACGCACAATATAAGGCAGACGTTAATAGGTCATGTACATTAAGGAGCCTCAGTGTCCCAGGCACGGGTGAAAAGTAGCTACGAAACTTTGAGCAGCTCTCTTTAAAACTGTTTCCATGTTTACAGTAAAATAGAGATTGTGATCATTTAAGTTTGCTGAAAGTTATGCCCAATCACTCCCCAAATTTTAAACTTTTAAAATTTTACAGGATGTCGTTGCTGTTTACTCGGGAGCCCCTTTTCTTGGACATCTTTACATGGCTACCTACCGTTACAAGCAACATCACAGCTACTGGACTACTACAGAAGGTGAACCCTCCTCTCATTAACAGGAAAGGGTTTACTGTCACAAAGAGAAACAACCAAGGTGCCCTTTTTTGTTTTGAAATGGGATCGCAGTGACAAATCACAATTCTCTTTCCAATCTTGTTAACACCAGTGTTGTTCTGCTACTGGGACGGTGGGTGCTACTGAGTGGCTCCATTTGTTTCCTTACACTTTCAATAACGGCTTTGTGTTTGTTTATATCTGTGAAAAAGAAAGATTTAAGCTCATACAAAACAGCTAAACACCCACATGAGGGATTATCAGCAATCCCCTTAACATTCAGCCAGTTCTAAGGAAGACGAGGACAAAATCAGGGCTCACGAAAGCACAATTAAAGTCGCGTTGTGAAAAGCCACAGCCCGTACCTATCAAGTGGTGAGGAGAGACAGAGAAGGGATAGGTGAAAAGATCTAGCTGCTGGACTAGTCAGCCCCAGGCAGAAGGAGTTCAGAATGGAGGAGTGCCTGCCTTAAAAGGGCAAATAGGCCAGGGCAGCAGGCAAGCTTTCAGGACAGTGCTGATAGGAAGGAGCTGGCTTACTCCTTTCCACTACTCTCAAGTTTTGACCCGTGCTGAGTCTAGAGCTTTCCTTTCTCTGAAGGCTGCTAGCTATGTTACAGCCATGGCAGGCTCCCTGGTGAGACCTGTCAGACTTCAAAACTATCAGGAAGGACTGTGAAACTTCGAACTTAAAACCATCAACAACCAGGACAATAGCGTCTTCTTCCAAGGAGAACAAGTCAATTATAATTGGCCATTTCTTGGAAAGGTGTGTTTTGCAAACAGGTGATTATAATGGAACTGTTTCACAATTAGAAAAACCAAGGAGCACCAAGGAATAACAGCAAATCAAACCCTAAATAGTAATGGAACTAGAACCAACAGTTGTTTCCGATCCATTTTTTTTTTCTTTGAAGTCCATCAGCAAGTCTTTAGTCTGAGGTAAATATAGCTCTCTAGAGGGCAACCTTCCAAGGACATGGGTTACAGGTTCTTCTGGTGCAAGCGAAGTCGGCCTCACTTCTCAAAAAAAAAAAAAAAAAAAAAAAAGTTTAAAGGAGCGAGTTACCTCCTTTAGGGAGGATGAGAAAATTTTACACAACGGACATTTTAATGAGTTTTTAAAACGTCAATCTTTGTCAGTAGCAGGGGTAGAGGAAAACAGGGTTTTGGAAATGAAGCACACGCTAACGATTGGACTAAGCCAGCCCCAGCCCCGGTTCCCCGAGCGCTGCAGACAGAAGTCCCAAGCGAGGGAGGAAGGAGGAAGGGCGGCATCATTTAAACTGTAAACAAATCTGGCGGAGACTCCAGGCTCTGGATGAAGTCTCGGGAAGCTCTCGCCGCAACTCCTTCACGAAGCTCTCCGAGCAAAAACTTCAGATGGCAAAGCGGGGCGCGGAGGACACGAGCGGAGGGGACAGAGTCGGGGGCCCGGGTGGCGGCGGGAAAGGAAGCGCGGGCAGGGACCCGGCCGGGAGCAAGAACGTCCCCAGATCCAAGCCACCCAGGGCGGGACCGGGACACCCGGGCAGAGGGGACGGGGCGAACGGCGCCCCGCGGCTCCCACCTGACGGCACCGCGGCTCGCGCCGGCCGGCTGGCCGGTCCCCGGCTTCTCCTCCTCTTCCTCTTCCTTGTCCCGTGAAGGGTTCCGCGCCGCGAAGAACCGAGAGAAGCTGTGCCAGGGGGCGCTGCCCCTCCTGCGGCCGCCGGACATGTCCCCCGCGCGGCCCCGACGGGGCGGTGGCCGGAGCGCGGGTGGCCACAGCCCTGGCCTGCGGAGCGCAGCGGGAGTCGGCGCGGGCCGCCGCGCGGCTCCTCCAGCCCCCGCCGGCACGAGCGCTCCCGGGCGGCTCCTCCTCCCGCCCGCGTCCCCAGCAGCCCGCCCCCCGGGAGGAGCCAGCGGCCGCGACCGCCCCGCCGCCGGCAGGTCCGGGAGGAGCAGCCCAGGGATGCTGGGCTCGGGCTTCCCGCCCAAAACACCCCAGCCCGCGGCCCGCCCGGCTTTGGGAACAGCTACTGTAAAAGCACCATTCCCCTCCCACGTTAGGGCAGTTTTCAAAGAGGGGAATCAATTAAGGGGCTTGTGGAAACACCTGGCGGGAGGCAGCACCGGCGTGCCCGGCAAGCCCCGGAGCCAAGCACAGCCCTTCTAAGGACGGCTTTAGCCAGCAAGGCAGAAGACAGCAGGGTCCCATCCGTCCAGCTGTCAGCAACTTATTTCTGCTTCAGCTGGCTCGGATGCCGAGTCACTAACCCAGGTGTGCTTTAGTTCTCACCCTTCACCTTTGGGCTACTCCCAGAATCCTTTTTCAAAAAAAAAAAAAAAAAAAAAAAAAAAAAACGACGCTGATCAGAAACAAATATGAATCAGGTGTGACTCAATCTGGAAACTGCTGAAACAAATATTTTGTTGTTGCGCAGGTGTTAGTGTAGTCTGCAGCCCCAAAGGTCCTTAAGACTAGTTTAAAATAAGTATCTGGTTATAACAACGTGGCTTTATATCGTGTAGCTGCTGGTACAGGAAGCACAGTGGCACATTCTCCCTGGTGTGTTGCTTTGTCTGAAGCCAAAACTCCAGAGATAAGAAATTCAAGGAAGTGGCCTGACATTTAGTAACTAAAAATGTTATATAGGCAAAGTATTCTCCCTTTGTGGCTGGCTGGACACATCTAACCATAAGCCCCAAGTAATTGTGGCACTGGTTACTGAGCCGTCCACACACACATGCCCCTTTGAAGCACTTTAATACCAGGAGTACGTGAGCAAGGATCACATAAAATTAGATAGCATAAGAAAAGTTTCCAAGCTAACATTATCTCAGAAGAGAATACGTATTAAATAAAGATCTTCTAATCAGAAAGCCCAAAGAGGATTCAAAAGCAAAGCACAGGCAAACTTTCCTGTAGCTACAAGGCCTGGAGAATACATCTCTCCCCAAAGCATTGTGAACTGAGTGCCAGCCGCCTCTCCCACTTGCCGGTGATGAAAATGGTCCCTAAACCTGTACATCGGGTGCAGGCCCTGGGGATAAAAGTGGCTGGGAGCCGGTAAGATTATGAAGCAATTCTGATTTTGATTACTTCTCTCAACTGTGTTAGGAAAATGCTACAGTAATACACGTATTAATATTTCTTTATAACATGCAGAAGTACTAGATTCACACTATGGGAAGTCTTTGGTATTAAATTTTCATTTATTTGGATTTCCAATACTTACTTAGACATCATACAGGCTTACAGTCTCAACTTATAATAGCAGACTCTTGAATCCTAAATTCTGGGATTTCATTATGATATCTGTGGGGAAAAAGTTTCCAATTTTAGAGTTGTAAAGATCTTAGAAGATGCTAATTTTGTTCAATCATTTTCACTCTTTCCATTTTCATATGGGCATTTAGTAAGGCAGGAGCATTCTTACTGCGAAGCTGATGAAGTTTAAGTTTGAAGACATCTCAAGGGCACAGCCTTTTCCAGTGTGAGCAATGATGGGATGGTTACTTGTTCTTAGATGTCAGGGAAAGGAAACTCTTTTTTGAAAGAGAATTGATTGAGAGAACAGAACTTTCCTTCTCTCACACCTCCAGAATTAGTAGGTACTAGAATTCTTGGGCTCATACTGAGATCTGACGAATAGAGAAGACATTGGCTTTGAACTTGCTGGGAAAACGTTTATGGAGTTTTAAGCTGCTCCTCTCCAGAGGATAGTTCAGTTATTGCTTAAATTCCACTCTGTTCATTGTGCAACTCATGAAGATTTACACTCAAGATGTATGACCACAGGTTCTGTCAAGACATGAATACATCTGTGGCTTCCAACTTTGCACATATGTACGTAGTGAGGGTGAAACAAGATTTGAAGTGTGCACCTGGAGTATGACACATGTCATGTATTTCAGACAACTTTGCAAGGCACAGAACTGTTTCTAATTGACATGCTTTCAGTCATGATAATGCGGTGTTCCATGATACACTCTACAATTTTATAGCTATAACCACTCCAAACATTGTTTTTCTGTTTGATGTAAACTATGTCAAATGGAATTTTTCAGACTTCTTACTTGTAAGGGCTCAAGCCTATGCCTATACATGTGAGCTCTGTATGTGTGTGGTGGTGTGTAAAGTTGCTTGTTTTCATGGTGTTTCTATAAATAATAAATAAGACCAAGTGGACCAGTGGAAAGACTGAGCTATCTAACTCCATTGTTTGTACATACAGTGACATTAAAGATATTTCCATATGAAAGGTTTTCAAAGAATATGCTATGAATTTTTAATATGTAGGCATAAGCCAAGTAGCAAATAGAAAAAAAAAATACTTCGCTTTTATAGAGTTGCTAAGTTTTGTAGAATAGTCAATCTTTTAGAATTACTACATTGCATTCTATTATGTCCCAAATAATTTTATATAAATTTCATTTTCATTTTAAATGCTTTAAACTGAACCCCAACAAAAGAGAATAGTTATGATGGAAGAGGGAAAGGGTTGGAAGGGAAGAATGGGAACTGCACTTGATCGAAACACAATGTATGTGTGTATGGAATTCTTAATCAATATAAAAAGAGATTCCTGCAAAGCTTTAAAAACTGCAGATTCCACAAACCTCAATATGTATTTTAGGTGCCTAGGATGTGTCAGACCCATGCTCATGTTTAGAGACTAAGACAGTATATTTTCTTTCAAGGAACAAATTTGGAGGGAAAGCAGATTTGTAGCGTTAGAGAAGGGAAATTGTTCTATAGGAATGTGTGGAGAAGAATTTCCCGGAGAGCCCACAGGATCAAGTAACTGGCCTACTAATACTGGATTCTCTGCCTCCTTGGACTACACCACTTCCAGAAAAAAATTCTAATCCAGTAGCCCATATGATAAATGAGGAGGGCTGAAGCTTGTCACATGTGAGTGAATTGCTATTCCCAAAGCATAAGTACTGTATTGCTCAAAAGCATGAGAATCGACAGGAAGTGCTGGTCCTTGAAGCATTTAGATGAGAATGCATGAGAAGGTTAGAAATGCTGAGCTTTTCTGTTGTTGTGGAAACTCTACCAGAGGGAGAAACTACTGAATCTATCTTCGAGCACAGTATTTACTGTGTGGCAGGTGGCCCAGGAATATTAAGACAGCTGTCAACATCAAGGAAAGCACCAGCCCATGAAAAAGCAAACAGATGGATTGGGGCACTTCACTGGCTGCTTCTTAGAATAATAGCTGTTCTTGGCCAAATGAGGCAAAGTCAAGCTGCCCAGGGCAGCAAAAAGCTATTACTGGATAGAAGCACTCAATTAGGAGAGGGGCGGAGGTATGGCCTCCCATTTTCTTTGTCTGTACACTCAAGTTTTCATTAAAAACCATCACAGCAAATAAGAAGGGAGAGAGGATTTTAGTGTTTCTCATTTTGTTACATTCTGATTATCATGGTTTGTGGCGTTGGGAAATGCCTTGTCTTACTGCTTCAATGAGAGCAGATGGTGAAATTTTAAAGTAATTGGTTATTCGAACTTCTATGGAATACATGATGTTTTATTGTACTGTTTTTGGTTTTATTTGAAGAGCATGTGGAGAATGAAACCATTCAAACACATAATTTAATGTGTTTGTTTGACTTATGTTGCATTTATTATTTTATTCCTCGGATATATTATATGCAGAAGAAAAGAAATCCTTAAAAATTTTGTGACCATCAAGGATTGAATGTGGACTTTTTAAGTAGTATAGAGTAGTTTGCTGATATTGAAATATTCTTTCAAGTATATATTTAGGAGAATATATTTGGAAAAGTAGATTATAAGGCATTTTCCAAAGTAATTGTTCACATCATTTCAGCTTGAAATGCCATTGTCTGTCTCAAATGCTATAAAAATGAATGCAAAACTAGAATATCATTTTAATATTCTATTTAATACTAATCACTTTCATACAGTGTCAGGTATAATGCCTCAGAATAACAAGTTAGTAATAGATAAGAAACTCAGACCGCATAATCTATTTCTCCGAAACTCTTCCTCTCAGTACATGGGCTATGCATTATTGTGTAGTTCTGAAATGCTATTTCAGGACATCTAGTCTGAAGAGAATCATTACTGATACGTGTGTGGACTGTACTCGCTAAGTGCTGATTGTGCATCTTGCTTGTTCGGTTATCACAGAAAAGTTTTAGAGTTTAGAAGTTGACTTGTGAAGTTTATTTTCACTTGTTTTAAAGTTAATAGCATGTGTGTTCTGGAAGCCTGATTCTTCTGACTGGGACACTTTGTGTTCATATTTATTTGTTGTGAATGGCTAACAGACAAGATACAGAGGTGGCTGCTGCTGTGAGCACAGGTTTTGATTAGGGTGAGAAAGCAGCTGGACATGCTACATGTTGTCAAATAATATGAACCGCAGTTTTCCTGTGGGGGCTTTCCCTAATTCAAAATCGAGGCTAGCATTATTTCCTGTGCACAAATTGACTCTGCATAGACTAGAACTGAAATCAGTTTACTTTGGTGTGGAGTGATAGAGTAGTGAATTTAGAACTAAACACATACCTGACAAACTTATTCATGGAAATTTACTCCACTCTGAACTACTATCACCAACAGACTTTGAGAAATTTAAAATATTACAAACTGTAGGCTAGGAGTGCAGCCTGGTGACAGAGTACTTGCCCTATATGTGTAAAACCTTGGGTTCAATCCATACTCTGCAAAAATTAAAAAAAAAAAAAAAAAAGCAAAA